TGAATGATGTCGCCACAGATTCGAGAAATGAAAAAAAAAACAGTTGGCAGAAACGACAGAAAGTCGATGCAATATGGACAATGGAATTTGATATGTACAGGGTAGAGCGAAAAAAATGGCCAACGACTTTTGACCTAAATATCTTCGCTCACAATGGAGCTATTTTCGCGAAACTTTCATTATGCATACAAGCAGTGGCGTAACAAGGGGGGGGGGGGGGGGGGGGGGGGCCAAGTGGGGGGTTCTCATTCTCCAGTAAAACGTGTGTGCATGTGAAAATAACAATTAGCAAGGGGGGGGGGAGCTGGGGTATGGGGGCGGCAGTAACAGTCACTCGCCCCGGGCGGCAAATTACCTAGTTACGCCACTGCATACAAGAGCGTTTCCAACTGATACTCAACATTTAATCCGAATTTGTTGGGCCGAAGCAAAACTATTAGCAAATATTGAAACAAAGTTAGACATTCGAAAATGAACCAAACCTTCGCTGGTAGTGGAGAGGAGGGCTGTCGAGCGCTTTTCTTCTTTTCATCAAGACCACATCAAATCTCTCCAACAGACGCCCAGCCCAAATGAGTTTAAACAGGAGGGATTACGTGTAGACATGGTCTTGATCCCAAGAGGGGGAGGGGGGGCATCGGGGACAATCTGCCCCGGGCCTCGCGTATCAAGGGGCCCCAAAGGGGCCTCCAAAGGGCTTCAAGGAAGCCTCCAAGGGACCTCCGGTTTAGTTTTGCCCCAGGCCTCTGGAAACCTCTGGGCGGCCCTAGCCTTGATGACAAGGAAGAACAGCGCTCGACAGCCACTCCTTTCCACTACCAGCAGGAGCTCTTGTCCATCCTCAAGGTCTAATTTGTTTCAATTATTTACTAATAGAATCAAATTCATCCATCCATCCAATTCGGCCTAAATTTTGAGAATCAGTTGGAAACATAGGGTAACTTGGGGGAATATGGCCATTGGGGTAATATGGCCCTTTACAAGGAATCCCCTTATAGACTGAATAATTAGTTTGGGCGAATTTAAAAAATAGTTCTATCGAAGAGTACATGTAATTGTCGAAATGTGTAGACCTGTTCATCAATCCAGTTCCCACCGGAATTCGGGATACATCGATGTCTTGAAAGTCATATGCATGCGATTCTTTGACTCATGACCCTAAAACTAATATGAGCCTTGAGCAACATAAGCGTATATTTCCTAATAGCAGCATGGATACAGAAACCATTACTTCTAAGTTCTTCTATGGTCTCTCCAGAATGCTTGTGCAAAGTGCTAGCCCCTTCACTTGCGGTTTGTAGGCAGTGTTGTCAATTTTGTAATGCGAGCCAATATGGGGAAATATGGCCATCTCGATTTGGGGTAATATGGACACATCCTTCATTTCATGTTAGCACCGCACAGACCTATTGATACTGTCTGC